CTGATTGGTCCTGAAACTCCACGTCTGCTGGTTCAGGCTACCACAGCAATGACATCACTATCACCACTATCACTATAACCGCGCCTTAACCGTGCCTTAACCGCGCCTTAACCGCGTCTTAACCGCGTGTGAACCTCGTGTTAACCGTGTGTTAACCGTGCCTTAACAGTGTCTTAACGTCTTATCGCATGCTAGCTGTCCACACTGCATCTGTTAAATACTGAATTCTCAGCTCTGTAAATTTCAGTACCCCCCCCTGCAAAGAGAATAACATCTAGTGCTTTATACTGAAGGGCTTTGTATTAATTATGAAGGTAGATATGTTGAAAAATAGGAGAGCTTGGTCCTGAAACTCCACGTCTGCTGGTTCAGGCTACCACAGCAATGACATCACTAAGGTGCGGTTAACACGCGGTTAAGGCACGGTTAAGACATGGTTAACACACGGTTAACACGCAGTTAAGTGCGATGTATACTCCTCTACAGAGAAGGGAATACGTGAGGTGAAGAGTTGTAGTTCCAACATGGCTTTTTCATTTTAATTAAACGCTCTTCAAAAAGAGAGAGAGAGCTATTCAAGAATAAAAACCTGATAGATCAACAGAAAAAGAATACAAAAACAGACGAGCAGATAGTAAGATAAGACAAAGAAAACAAAACAGAAGAAGAAAGAAGACGCTACAGTGATGCTGGAAACTAACAACATGCTCGCTGCGTGGTCGTCAGATACACCGACAAGTCAACGTTTGAGGGTGAACTGCCCCCAATTTAAAACCTCTGGTGATGTCACTGATGATGTCATTCCGATCCAGTCCTTGGATTGGTCCATTTGAAAACCAACAAGGATGTAACCATCTCTGAGACACAGCACACTGACTTCAGTACAGAAAGAATAAGATGAAACTGGCGTCATCAGGGCGCTCTGTTCTCCCTCATGCTCCGTCTAACTTTCTTTTTTTTAACCTAAAATATAAATAAAACTAAAAATATCTAAGAATCAGTTTAACATATGAAACTGTTCCATTACATAAAGACAAAGAGTAGAGTGTGTTTTGATGCCTATGCTACATGTTTATTGAAGCAGCTTAGCGTCTGCGACGAGCAACTGTCCTACGTCTGCGTGTAGCAGTGGACCTGCGGGCCCTCCTGCGCCTGCGAACGGGGCGAGAATCTCCTCTGCGTCTGCGTGGCATTATCAATAAGTGACCTCTTAGAGGGAGAGGGGTCCTATTTATAACCTCTGATGGCACGCTCTGTGATGTCACTGATGATGTCACAGGTCGTTACTTCTGTGCACTTAATGCGCGACATGGTTGCTCTGACATCATCAGTGACATCATCAGTGACATCATATAACTAACCTGGCAAAGTTATAAATAGGACCCACAGCAGTGAAGATATTTTAGATTAATCGAATCTCTGTTTTTTCCCTCTAGGTTGACTTCTTCTTTCTCAACAGGAATCTGTACCTACACCACGTCTTAACCGCGCCTTAACCGCGTCTTAACCGCGTGTTAACCGCGTGTGAACCTCGTGTTAACCGTGCCTTAACCGCGCCTTAACCGCGTCTTAACCGCGTGTTAACCGCGCCTTAACCGTGCCTTAACCGCGCCTTAACCGCGTCTTAACCGCGTGTGAACCTCGTGTTAACCGTGTGTTAACCGTGCCTTAACCGCGCCTTAACCGCGTCTTAACCGCGTGTTAACCGCGCCTTAACCGTGCCTTAACCGCGCCTTAACCGCGTCTTAACCGCGTGTGAACCTCGTGTTAACCGTGTGTTAACCGCGCCTTAACAGTGTCTTAACGTCTTATCGCATGCTAGCTGTCCACACTGCATCTGTTAAATACTGAATTCTCAGCTCTGTAAATTTCAGTACCCCCCCCTGCAAAGAGAATAACATCTAGTGCTTTATACTGAAGGGCTTTGTATTAATTATGAAGGTAGATATGTTGAAAAATAGGAGAGCTTGGTCCTGAAACTCCACGTCTGCTGGTTCAGGCTACCACAGCAATGACATCACTAAGGTGCGGTTAACACGCGGTTAAGGCACGGTTAAGACATGGTTAACACACGGTTAACACGCAGTTAAGTGCGATGTATACTCCTCTACAGAGAAGGGAATACGTGAGGTGAAGAGTTGTAGTTCCATCATGGCTTTTTCATTTTAATTAAACGCTCTTCAAAAAGAGAGAGAGAGCTATTCAAGAAAAAAAACCTGATAGATCAACAGAAAAAGAATACAAAAACAGACGAGCAGATAGTAAGATAAGACAAAGAAAACAAAACAGAAGAAGAAAGAAGACGCTACAGTGATGCTGGAAACTAACAACATGCTCGCTGCGTGGTCGTCAGATACACCGACAAGTCAACGTTTGAGGGTGAACTGCCCCCAATTTAAAACCTCTGGTGATGTCACTGATGATGTCATTCCGATCCAGTCCTTGGATTGGTCCGTTTGAAAGCCAACAAGGATGTAACCATCTCTGAGACACAGCACACTGACTTCAGTACAGAAAGAATAGGATGAGACTGGCGTCATCAGGGCGCTCTGTTCTCCCTCATGCTCCGTCTAACTTTCTTTTTTTTAACCTAAAATATAAATAAAACTAAAAATATCTAAGAATCAGTTTAACATATGAAACTGTTCCATTACATAAAGACAAAGAGTAGAGTGTGTTTTGATGCCTATGCTACATGTTTATTGAAGCAGCTTAGCGTCTGCGACGAGCAACTGTCCTACGTCTGCGTGTAGCAGTGGACCTGCGGGCCCTCCTGCGCCTGCGAACGGGGCGAGAATCTCCTCTGCGTCTGCGTGGCATTATCAATAAGTGACCTCTTAGAGGGAGAGGGGTCCTATTTATAACCTCTGATGGCACGCTCTGTGATGTCACTGATGATGTCACAGGTCGTTACTTCTGTGCACTTAATGCGCGACATGGTTGCTCTGACATCATCAGTGACATCATCAGTGACATCATATAACTAACCTGGCAAAGTTATAAATAGGACCCGCAGCAGTGAAGATATTTTAGATTAATCAAATCTCTGTTTTTTCCCTCTAGGTTGACTTCTTCTTTCTCAACAGGAATCTGTACCTACACCACGTCTTAACCGCGTCTTAACCGCGTGTTAACCGCGCCTTAACCGCGTCTCATTATGCAGAGGTCTTTGATGTAATATCTGTTGTTACCACGGCAACGATAAACATTCCATGTCTCTCATTTCTGTCACATGGAGCTAGTGGCAGCCCTGCAGTGTTCTGCCCCAGGAAGGCTTCCAGAGAGCTACATGGGGAGAGGGGCCTCTAAGAGACAGCTAAAGTGGATTTGATTGTCGTTCACTATGACGCACTACGACATCACATGATCCATTTTTGTGGGCTGATTGGTCCTGAAACTCCACGTCTGCTGGTTCAGGCTACCACAGCAATGACATCACTATCTGCAGCTGGCAGTGCGATGTATACTCCACTACAGAGAAGGGAATACGTGAGGTGAAGAGTTGTAGTTCCATCATGGCTTTTTCATTTTAATTAAACGCTCTTTAAAAAGAGAGAGAGAGCTATTCAAGAAAAAAAACCTGATAGATCAACAGAAAAAGAATATAAAAACAGACGAGCAGATAGTAAGATAAGACAAAGAAAACAAAACAGAAGAAGAAAGAAGACGCTACAGTGATGCTGGAAACTAACAACATGCTCGCTGCGTGGTCGTCAGATACACCGACAAGTCAACGTTTGAGGGTGAACTGCCCCCTATTTAAAACCTCTGGTGATGTCACTGATGATGTCATTCCGATCTAGTCCTTGGATTGGTCCATTTGAAAGCCAACAAGGATGTAACCATCTCTGAGACACAGCACACTGACTTCAGTACAGAAAGAATAAGATGAAACTGGCGTCATCAGGGCGCTCTGTTCTCCCTCATGCTCCGTCTAACTTTCTTTTTTTAACCTAAAATATAAATAAAACTAAAAATATCTAAGAATCAGTTTAACATATGAAACTGTTCCATTACATAAAGACAAAGAGTAGAGTGTGTTTTGATGCCTATGCTACATGTTTATTGAAGCAGCTTAGCGTCTGCGACGAGCAACTGTCCTACGTCTGCGTGTAGCAGTGGACCTGCGGGCCCTCCTGCGCCTGCGAACGGGACGAGAATCTCCTCTGCGTCTGCGTGGCATTATCAATAAGTGACCTCTTAGAGGGAGAGGGGTCCTATTTATAACCTCTGATGGCACGCTCTGTGATGTCACTGATGATGTCACAATCAGGTGGTTTGTCTCTTTGCTGATCTTAGTTCTCTAATGAAAAATCTCATCCTGCTGACTTTAAAGGTCACATATCCTCCTCCTCCTCTTCAGTTTAAATAAGTCTCAGAGCTCCTCAAAACATGTGTGTGAAGTTTCTTGTTCTAAATCCACTCTGATCCTGTATTTGATCATGCCTATAAACCCCTCTATTTCAGCCCTGCTCAGAACAGGCTGTTTCTGTGTCTGTACCTTTAAATAAAGTAAATGAGCTGTGTCTGACCACGCCCCCTCTCTGGAAGGGCTTGGGTGTAGTCGGGCTTTCTCGCTACATGTCCTATTGTTTACGGTGAGAAGACATCACAAAGGGCAGTCGCCCCTCCCCCAGGTGGGTGACACTCCCACAGCTAGGTGTTTGTTCTGCCCTCTGAGTCTGCCTTCTCACCGTAAACAATAGGACATGGAGCGAGAAAGCTACAAGCTACATGGAGCAGGCGGAAGACAAAGAGAATGGACTATTCTCATCATTGGGGGGTTTGTAGACAGACTAGAGACACATGAAGGTTGTTTGATAGCTGCTGCAGTCCAGAAAGGAACTGAAATTGAGAATAGAACTTAGCACATTCCATCATGGGATTGTTTGTAATACCACAAACAAAATTCAGTCAGATGGATTAAAAAGAATTCAAAATATAAAACGTTGACTTTTGCGTCAGTTGGTTGAAATAGTCTAAAATAAGACAGAAAAATGTTGATGTGAAAGCACTTTCAGACCAAATATGTCACCATTTATTGTTAGAATCATCTTTTCAGTACATAACAGCTGATACAGATTAAAAAATAACTCAATACCAGTATGATGTTAAAGGTCCATGATCAGTCAGATGGTTACGCAGAGAAAAATACAGCAAGATTTATGTTTGAGAAAACGGCAGTGTGGTCATCATAAATGTGAGAAAAAAATAGAAGGAAGTATAAAATGTACAGCCATGTGAGTATATAATATTTATAGATAACATTGCACATTATACCAAAAAAAAAAAAAAAAACAAGGAACCACACATGAAGAAGAAAACAAGTGTACACAATATACAATAAGGCACTATGGGAGAGACCTGCACACGCGTCTTTGGATGGATCTGCCGCCTGCGGAGCTCCAGCGAAATGTTGTAGGAATGTTACACTGTGAAGAGTCCAGCTGAGCACGCCATTCACACTAACATCTGACCAACCCTGCACGCCATTCACACTAACATCTGACCAACCCTGCAAAATCTAAACAGGTCATTCAAATTAAGTTTTAATCAATGCAGTCAGAGTAAACTCAAGGGGCGTGTCGATATGATTGAGGCTCAGTGATGATTTTTTTTTTAAATCTTTGGTCGTATTTTGTGGATTTGTAAGTGCTCAGTAACTCGGAGGTCATTATTGAACCTCCCCCTCTCGCTCGCCTCTTTCCTGAATATTTCCAGCTGTTTTCTCACATCGGTTTACCCGCTGACTTCACACTGACATTCGACAAGGGAGGCTGTCAGGAAAAGTTCAGGTGAAGTCGGAGTGAAAAATGTGTCTGTTTGCGTTCACACATGCAGCTCACCCTGAAAATTTCAGGAGGTTTTCATGAGTTTTATGCATGTCTGAAAACACCATAAGATTGCTACCAGACCTGTCTGACAGCGTTACAGAAGAAGGGGTCAAAGAAAGAAGAAAGAGCCGTCTTAGATAAAAGTTTTTTGTTTTTTTTTTCAACCAGAGAAAGCTACATCAGGGGCGCAGGTAGCCTGGAGGTTTGTGCGCACACCTCAAGTTTTCTAATCTGATTTGTGGCTCCTTTCCTGCATGTCACTCCCCATTCTCTCTCTCTCTCTCTCTCTCTCCCTGGTTTCTGACTCTGTCCTGTCTCTAAATAAAAGCATAAAGAACTCAAAAATAACCCTACAAAAAGGTAAAAAGCTACGCAGACTCCATTGACAAAAACACTCATTTTACTCTTCAAATAACCCCACCAGAGTTCAGCTTGAATGGCCTGCTGGGCTGGACAGATCGAGCAGTGTAAAAGTACATCGGTAGTTAAAGGGAACACGGGAGCACCTTTCAGATTGTGGTTACACGGGAACGAGAGTGGCGTCGACAACAACGACGACAACAACAAGCGTGACTTCACTTGAGTTTGTCCTGCTTTATCACAGGCACTTGAGTGACCTTCTTTATCATCGGCAAATCAATCAAAAAACAATCAATTATTACACACTTGAAATGCAGACGCAAGTTATTTACAGCGAGCACATCATCCTGGAGAAGGTTTGTGTAGACATCCCAGAGTTTGATCAAAGCAGAGGAAAAGGCTCGTAGGCTGCAGTTTTCTTTTTCTGTTTTCTGGGTTTTTTTTTTCTTTATACATTCGACAAGCTTGTAGGCACAGTCTTCTAAAAACTTACACTCACACATGTACACACACACACACTCGAACAAAACCCTCAGTAACAAACCTGCATCAACAGTCCTTGTAGTGCCACAGCACGTCAGCATCAGGAGGAAATGAACAGTCTTAATTTCAAAACAAGACACATCCACATGCTATACTGACGAGTAAAAAACAGCTGGATTTCTTTGGTCTGAGAAACATAAAAAAAAAAAAAAAAAAAAAAAAAAAGAAGTGACATCTGCTCGTTTTAGTACTTTGCTGCTTCAAGAGTCTGGAAGATGAGAGGAGGAAACGTTTCCTGCCATGTTTGTTTTATCGTCCTTTTTTAGCTGGATCGGTAGAAATATTTTCCAAAGTTGAGAATCAGGTACTCAGGTTGTTCAGGTACTTTGGACCCGACCAGGTGTATGTACGTACGAGGAGACCTGAGACCCTGGAGGTGTTTCATCCTTTACGTTAACCTGGTTATTAAATCTGCTGCAAATATGTTCTCCTGCTAAAAAACACCTCACCCTTCTTATTGTATACAAAGTACAATAATTAGGGCTGTCAGATTATTTCTGTCTTTCCACATTCCCCGTTTAAATCGTCAATCGCGATTGATCACATATTTTAAATTCCATTATTTTCTGTTAAGCTCGGGGTTATTTACCTCCAGTTTTGATACCAACCTGCTTTTATTTTGAAAGAAAAAGGAACTCCTAGTCGAGCGAGGGTAACGACATTAACTTAAGGAACTCCTTATGAAACATAAAGTAACAGCTGAAGAGGTCGGTTAAAGTCAAATGTTTGATGTAATAATTTGTCACTTAGCTGTCTAAGAGTATTTTTTTTTTCAGGGAAATGAGACATTTAAAGGCGCAGTGGTGTTTCACACAACGGGAGGCGTCGTCCATATTTATACAAAGTTCCTGGTTTGGTCAGTTGTCAATTTTCTTGAGCTTCTTTTTCTAATTAGTAAAGAAAGTAGCACTCTTTTACTTTTAAAACTTGCTGAATCAGCTTCATCAAGTCGTTCCCCCTCCGCCCAGTTGAACTCTTGTCATCTGGTTCTATAACAGCCTACTGAGTTTCTCTCAGGTACAGGTACCTGGTCAGGTCCCCCCCCCCCCCCGACCCCGAAGACCTCCACATCAAACATCTGTGGCCATCAGCATCCAGTAGTTTTGGACACAGTTTTATCCATAAACTGTCTTCCATTACAGCGGGGACATTTCTCCTTTGAGGCTGAAGAAACGTTCCCAAAGCACTCTTCCAGCTCCAAATGATTGCACGCCAGTTCATGGTTCCGATCCCTCCTGTGTGGCTGTTTAGTGTTTTGGAATAAAACCACTCCATAATAAAAAAATATATAGAGCAAGTTCAAATTAAGAGCATCGCGGGTTTGTCTGCAGCATTCATAGTCAGTCTGAAATGTCAAAAGTCAAAGCTCCAGAGCGGCGAGGACTGACGGGTGGGCGGGTGCACTCGACCCTCTGGGACACTCCTGTGCGTTCACCAGGCGCTACACTGGCTGCCGTGGCTGCTGACGGACTGACAGTTGCTGTAGCGTTTCTTGACGATCATGCTGATGTAGGCCTTCATCAGCTTGGCGATGTCCATGACCTGCAGAGAAGAGAGAGAGAGAGAGAGAGAGAGAGAGAGAGAGAGAGAGAGACGGAGGTTTACACAGCTCATGATGTCACCACATTCATTTATAAAAAGAATATGTCGGCAACCAAGTTGGATACTTCATGTTAGAAAACGATGAAATCAAAAAAACATCAGAAATTCAGATTTGGGTGCAGATAATAACAGATGTTCATATTTCTGCAGTGGCTGGGAAGTGCAAAATAAATTTACAAGATTCACCAGTCCAGATCCAGACAGAATCTTGACGTTAAGGGTAATTACGAGATGATGTTAAACTGAAACCTTTGTTTAAAATAAGTAAAAGGTTGGTCATAAAAACCTTTGAAGCAGAGTTTGTTGTTATTTTTGTACAAACCATTTGCGTTTCAAAGACGAGCTCTCGGCCCTCCACGGCGATCTTGTAGGAGTTGGGCAGCGGGGCTCCGAAGGACAGAATCTGCTCGTAGGGGAAAACCTCCAGGGGCCACGGCTCCCCTCGTTTGTACACCGATATGGCCTCCCTGCTCACGCCCAGCCACAGCTCGAGGGGAACGCTCCGTCCCGACACTAAGCGGCAAAGAAGGAACAAAAATGCATGAGAGGCCTGAGATTTTAGATTTATAATCTCAGTAAAATACATATCTGACATCTTTCCTCCTCACCTCCACGTTGAACAGCGTGGATCCGTATCCCTGCCACTCCTTCACCAGAGTCATGTACTTGACCATGGCTTGCTCCTGGTTCATCCCCTGCAGTTTCTTCCACTTGTCCATGACGCTGGTCTTCACTGCAGCCGCCTCCTCCCTCATCCACGCCTCCAGAGAGTTCTCCTCCTCCAGCTGCTTCTGCCGACTCAGCGAGCCGCTCCTGAAGCTCCGCCTCAGCGTCCCCTCCAGGAAGCTCGAGCGTTTCCTCTCGGACGTGCCCGAGCGGTCGGCCACCGAGCCGGCGCCCGGAGCGAACGTCTTGGCCGAGTTCTGCACCCGGGCCCGCAACCGCGCCATGGGGAACACCTGGGACATCTCGGGGACGCTGGCCTGGGAGCCGTGATCGCTCAGGAGGTACTGGAGTCTCAGGGCGGCGAGGAACTGAAGAGTCTCCTCGGGGGCCGGATACTGACCTTTAATGACGGCTTCATGAGCCTGTGGATGGCGGACGCAGAGAAGAAAAATATGGACGCATTGTCAGTACGAATGTGGATACAGGCGCGTATTATTTTTTTTAATGCTGGATGATTAAATCTGAAGACCTGCACGGACTAAATATTTTGGTTTAACTTCTTTTGTACCTGCTCGAACATGAAGGCGAACTCCACGCTGTCTTTGGGAACATCGTCCGTGTCCAAGAAACAGTAGAGCTTAAAGTAAAACTTCCAGCCGGTGCTGTGCTCGTCTGGACTTCCTGAGAGCCTGGCGACACAACGTGAGTTAGTGGTGATGGAGGGACAGAAAGAGAAAATGTACACAAACACACACAAACACACTGTGACTGCTTACTTCTCAAACTTGGCGAGCACGTCAGCCACCACCATGCGGCTCTCGATGGCTTTCTCTGTGTCGTCGTTGTGTTCGAACAAAGCGAACATGTTCCTGCTGTCCTCCATGGCCAGACCTCGGATCAGCTTCTCTACCACCTACCACACAAACACAGAATGAGACACACACTTCCAACGCCTAGTCAAAACCAAACCGAATCAAGATCTGTTTGGATACCACGGCAACTAAAATAGAAGTCCTAGGCATACAATTATTGTGTGATTTCTTCTTTTTCAGTGCAGAAAAATTGCAGGGAAACTCCGACACACGGCCTAAAAAGCACAAATACGCCGGCAGAGTTTTGGTACCGAAACCTTGCCAATATATTTGTACATTTGAGACAATGTGCCGGGGTTAGCTTGCAATTTTTGATGCATCAAATTGTCTCCTTCACACCTTTCTTTCTTTTAAGATGACCGACAAGATTCTCATAACCTAAGGATTGCTTTCTTTCATAAATGTACAAATATTTTGTAAAAGCCATTCTCCAGATATCTAAACCGTCATGTCATGTTTTCATTGTTCTTGTAGCTCAATTCTGAAGATTTAGCTGCAGGAAAAAAGGTTGATTTGGTTCGTTATCCTGCCTTCAATGTTAGCGTAAAAGTCACCCACCTCTCCAGCTGTTGTGTGGGAGTTGATGGTGATCTTGCAGGATCCTCCTCCGTGACAGTGAACAGTGGTGCTCATGTCCTGCCGGGCCACGATGGAGCGGATCTCCTCTTGCGACGGGACATTCTCCCTGGCTCGAGTCTTCCTCAGGGAGTCGAGGGCGAATGCGGCGTAACGTTCCATCTCTGAACCGGGGTAGAGCTCCCGGGTTCTGCAGAGGGAGGCGATTTGGATGGATCAATATAAGAGATTACATCAACATTAACAAAACATAAATCTTTGAACCTCCCAGTACCTCTTCAGGTGGAACTTGAGGTATCGGAGAATGCTCCTGGTGGGGATGAAGGTGCAGGACATGCAGGCCAGGATCTTCCAGCTGCAGAGGTTTCCCGGCCCGCTCGGCTGCGGCGGCCGGGTCGTCTGCTTGATCAGCTGGCAGAAGAGCTCGTCCCTCAGGGGTTTGAGCTCCTGGCCCGTCTGGAGGATGCCCTGGATGATTGGCACCGGGTCGGCCACACCCTCCAGGTGCTGCAGAGAGCCGAACACTTTGAGGGCTTCGTGCTGCAGAGTGGTGTAGCTTATGTTCCTCGGAGCTGAGCAGAGCAGAGGAGGAAGGAGACGTTATTGATGAGTCACTGTTCTTCTTAATAGAGTTTAAACAAAGCGATTTTTCATTCTTCTTGCTTCCTGGATGTTTGAATATTTGTGCAACTCACCGGTGAGGTGGATGTCTCCGTAGGGCAGTGGCAGCAGCGGCGTGTGCAGCGGGTGGTGGCTGTAGCGCAGTATGGGGTTCCTCTTGTAGATCTGCTCCACAACCTCTGAGTTCAGACAGTTCTCCTGCAGAGAGCAGACGAGACCGACTTCAGAACAACGCTCTGCTGAATATCTGACAGTTCACCGGGTCAAAAGAGTCTGACTCTGGACTCTATGTGGAGTCTCTACTTTCTACTTTAGAGTCTCTACTCTACTAAAAATTGACCAAACCTATGGTGTATAGAATTGGTTGTTGAGTTATTACATTAACTTAATATTTCCAACAGTTATCAAATCCAGAAAAATCCTTTATTTTATAGTTGTAAAGGGACATGTCTTGTCGTAGCGGCTGTATGTTTATTGTTGCCGTGGAAACACTGGATGTTACATCAAAGACCGCTACATAAGAAAGCTGTCATACTGTTGCTGTATGACCTCAGGTCGGTTTCACCCGGTCGTCATGACTACATTCAAATTTAGAGCAAATTTTCATAGTAGAGAGAATCACTCCCATGATTCCCCGCCCAGCCTTGACGTCATCTTTTCCTTAATGTTTTGATTTACAGCCAAAGTGACCAGATTGGGATTTATGGTCGTAACGGTTGAAACTGTGGAAGGTACCTTTAAGACACGCTGTGTTGTTAGGTACTAGGGGACTCTTCTTCTCTCGTTGAAGATAGTTTTGAGCGGTGCTTGCCATGGACGGACGCCTGAAAACTGAACTCCTGTTTTACTTTTGACTCTCAACTCAGCAGTGACATTAGGGTTCATGTGGATTTTGCTCATGTATTAAAAAAAAGTAGCAGCCGTACGTCCTGACTTTGTAAGATGTGTAACAATAAACCACGGACACAAACCGTGACATGGTCATGCCATCTTCTGATTCTTGTTCAGTATGAAATGCTTGGAACTTAAGTTTGGGCGTTATTAGCTGCAGCTTCAGTATACACCTATGTGGTTGGGTTAATCCTTAAAAGTATTAAAAACGTGTATTTATTTGTAGTTTTTATAAAACTTCTGTGAGTCTTTGTTGGGGGAGAAATCCGTTAAAGTTGACAGAAACAAACATCAATAAATCCTCTACCTTGATGTCCTGGATGAGCTGCTGCGTGGGCGTGTCGATGGGAGCTTTGGAGTCGATGACGTTCTGGATGGAGTTGGCCCAGCGCGTGGCCTCGTTCAGCAGCTTGCAGTACAGGCGGTAGGAGTGTTTACGTCCGTACACGATCACGTTCCAGTATCCTGTGAGGACGGGAACATGGAGAGGACACGTGTCATGTCACAAAGGGACACAAAGGGACAACTGTGTCTGAACAGGAGTTGGTTTAACTCATGCTGAGTCAAACTAAATGGACTTTTAAAGGCTTTATATGCGATTTTTTGATCCAGTAGATGTCGCCCTTGAGCACCAGCATGAAACCAAAACAACTCACGGTGCATTGTTGTGTTAGCATGCTAATGCTAGCGATCTTTATTATGCTCGTATCTTCACACTGCATGTAAATTTACCTGAAATGAGCGTGATCTAGAAACACAGTTAAGCAGTGAGTACAGTATGCCGTCCCGGCGATGTAAACAAACTGAAGATAGGACTCTGAAAACTCTGAAAACATCACAGACAGTGGGACTCGGGTGTTACACCCATTGTCGACAGTCATGACTCACAGAGTTATTTTCAGAGGATATATTGATTTCTGCTACATTTAAGTGTGAAAAATCACATATTAAGCCTTTAAAGTCCAGTTTCTGTTCCCTACCGGTCTCTTTGAAGACCTTCTCATCCGGCTGAACCACCGAGCAGAGGCTGTTCAGCACCAGCGTTCCCAGCTTCAAGGCGTTCCGCTCCGAGCTCTTGTAGTAGTCCAGGGAATTGTGGGTAAGCAGAAACCAGCGCTTCTTCAGCTTCAGAGAAGCCTTGGTGCTGTTCTTCATCTCTTTGTGCAACCAGCCT